ATGAACGTGTACCCCTAACGTTTTGGCTTCAGGCTTAGGATGATTATCATCTGAGTCAACAAGGAAAGCCAGCTGACTATCGATCTAGAAGAAGATCTCAGAATGAGAGAAGGCGAAGAAATTGCCCTCTGAACTGCATAAAATTAGATTACCATTGCTAATTTTCACCGGTTCACTCATTCAAAAAATAAAAAGGGAAAAACAAAAGCGATGATCAGCAGTTCATTTAGAGTGTTTTAAAGAGATCTCTCTTTGCTTCAAGCTTAAAGATTCAACATCCTGAAGATATGCTCTATCTGCTGAAAAGTGTTGTATCATAACAATGGACAGTAAGAATTTGTTTACCAGGGCTGTAACAATTTCCATCTTGTTCCTACCGGTATGTAGAAGAGGTGCAAAGTCACAACACCAGCTCATAAACAAACTAAAGATTGAAGGAGTAAGTTGGAATCTTTTCCACATTTGTTAAGGGGCAGAAGCCAAATTTATTGCTCTCTTGCCCCCTCTTCTCTTTCTGATGTTTTTCATCAAAAATTGGGACTGGCTGTCTCCTTCCCTGCACACAGCATCTTTTCTTTTTGTAATGATGTTTGATTGCTTTCATATTGCAACCTGATATGTCTGTTTTTGCGGTATTGCCAGGAGTGTTCGGGGCGTCTTCCCCAAGAAAAATATGTTTTTTCAAGAATTTTCTGCCCAAGGAAACAATCTACCTTGCCTCATCAACACAATATGACCACTTCCAGTTAGTTCTTTGCATGAAATGGATCTGTCCTTGTTTGAAACTGTAAACAATTTGGTTTGGTGCAAGTCTGCCAGAAATCTAGGAGTAAAGTGTTTTGTTGGCGTACATGTAAGTGAGTTTGGAGGGGAAGCAATGCCTCATGCAGAGGAATAGACAAGATATGACTGACCCCTCACTCTTGCAAATGTTTTCCCCCCACAGACAAGATATGACTGACCCCTCACTCTTGCAAATGTTTTCCCCCCACAGAATGAGCCTGATGCACATTTTATATATTTTTGCTAGCAACATTAGTTTTTAAAATACATTTAGGCATGGATTTGTGGTGATTTTTTTTTTCTGACAATTTTTGGGAAGTCTGTCTGTAGTGTACATGCAGTGCTTTAGTGGTTATTTTAGCATCATATTTCTAAAAAGTGCTTGTACATGTATGTTTCAAAATATTAACTGATGCCATCAGTTTGCTGTTGAATTTCAAGTTAACAACAAATAAAGCTCATTTCGTAAAGAACGAATCTTCTATAAAAAATGTCATACTTCATTGTTAGTCTGCTTTTAGAAATATAGTGAAACGATACATTTCTTTGAAATCCAGAGGTCATGTTCAGCCTGCCCTGCCTATTCGCCAACAATTCTTGGCCTCCATTCTCTTGTAATCCTGACCCAGAAAAAATGGTGCTGAATTTCACTGCTCCCATTTTATTTCCTGGAGGTTTGCTTTATTTGAAAGAAGGAGGTGTTGAATTTAAGATTTTTGATGTAGCCATGATAGGATGTCCTTTCAATGAGATTATTGGCTTAGAGGGAAATCAGATATCGGGCTTTGTGTTTGAACGGTCTCTCCTGATCATCTCAATGAAATTCTATTCCCTTCATTCTCCCACTTTGCTTAACCTCTTCTGATCAGACCAGATATTTGTGCTGACAAGTTTACAGCCAAATTGAATCCTGTAGCTGAAGATTATACTCCCAAGATTTCACAGTGATAAATTTCTTTCGAACTTTTTGGGCGGCACTGATTAAATTACATATTGGATGACTACTCTTTCAGTACAGTTACACACAGCCAAGGCAGTAGGAGAGTCTGTTGACTTTTGAAAGTGTTGATTTTGACAACAATATTGGACAGTTTTTGTGATGGCTCAAGAAGAGGGGACTATGTGTTCTGTGGTCCTGATCATTACATGGTGACAGATAAGCTTGAATGCTGATGTGACATGTCCTTACAGAGGCATCCTCAACCACATGGTGCCAAGCGATACAGCTTTCAGAAAAGTCAAGGCTCAATTTGCATGTCAAGCAAACAGCATTGAGCTGTTGTACATTATAATGGAAGTTGCGTCAACGAAGACACTGAAGGCTGCATCAAGCATGCCATGCCATTTCTTGTGAAGAGACAATGCTCCTCATTAACCCTAACATCCTAGGCCCTTTTTGCTAGGCGTCCTCCTCAATCCTCCCCACATCACTGTATGGTACATGTACTTTGTCTTATTGTATTTTGTGGCTTGAGGCACGTGTAACAGTACTGTCATGTCCTCAAGCGACAGGGCCGTACAGTACTTACACCCAGTATGCTACATGTACATTTTACTACCAGGTAATAATTTTAGTATTACATGTACCGTACATACCAGAATATGTAGGGTTAAAATTGGTTCCGAAACTGCAGCTGCTTAGTACACGCACATGTACATGTTCAGGCCATAATGTACATGTACATGTACATGTTATGCAGTGGATTTTACATGTACATATGTGTAAATATCACACCAGTTTGAAAAGTGTGTTTTTTATATGTATTTAACATTGTACATAGTACATTTTGTTTGTACAGACGTTGTGACCCACATACATGTAGACGTAGGTGTACCAGCTCACACATACTGGTATTGACCGCGCACTGGTACTTGTACATGTACATGTTCTGTACTTGTGGGGACAAACGTTCGCCATTACACCAATTTTATAGGGACTGAAAACATTGTAAGAAATGTCCCCACAACTCTGTCCTAATTTGCCTAAAAAAAGAAATTGTCCCCTAAAGATGGTGCATAAGGCCTGCTCATGTACCGTACATGAATTTATAATGGACCCGTACCAGTTGTCTGCAATTTGATAATTAATGTAAACCATCTGGGAATACGTTGTATGTTTCACAGTCATAGATCAGTCCTTGAAGAAGCATGGGCTTGGGAGTCAAATTACTAGCCTACTAATTAGCAGGTCTAATGTCTGGGTAAAAAACCTGTACCTTGATAAAGATGCTAACATGTACCTGTTTCTACGGAGATAAATGGATAACATTACACTGTTGTTGATTATGCATCTTTCCTGAGGGGAGAATGAGTCACAGGCTTGTCCAGTGTGTGTCCAATTCATAAGCAGTAAAGGGGAAGAGTAAAATTATTCCAATTTACTTAAAATCCACATGAAACAGATTTCTTTTTACTTTACTGTTAACATCTACAGGGTACATGTACATGTATTGGTATCTGATTAATCTTTGATTCATTGGCAGTAACATTCGAAAAATATTTGTAGCTTCCTTGAAGCATTGCATCATTTGGGATTCCCAACTCACAGAGCCAAATGTTTGTGTTCAGGCGGATTTCAATGAGATGCTAAAAAAAGCTTGCATCTTTCTCTTTTCAATCATGTTGTCAGTACGGACAGTCACTTTATGTGACATGTCTTCATTTCCTTGGTCACATGAATTCACTTTGCTTCCCTGGTATGTACATTGGTCTCGCCCTAGTTTTCATTTCATCCCTGGATTTTTTATCATGCCAGCTTCTTCCATCCCCTAACCACCTCAGCCTGGTTGACTTCTAGCCTTTTTGTTTATCATGCTGTAGGGGCAGTGTCTGATTGGCAGTCGGCTCTGATACACGATGTGGAAATTTGCCAATAGATACATCAGGCTCCCTGTTAATAAAACGCAGCGGAGGTCGTTAGGGAGTGCACCAGGCACAGATGGATAGATGGATTCTGGGGAAAAGTGAAAGCAATGAATAGTTGTTGAGAGGTTTTAGAGATGAAGTGATGAGGAGTAGATCATCATATCCTGAATGCTGCGTAGTGGAAATAATACCTCATTAATGCTCCACGACACATTTTAGTAGATGCCAGAATTCATTAATGAATCCCCTCAAGAGGCTATCTTTATCAGATTTTCTGTTTAATTCCCTTCATAGAATGTCAGCCTGGATCATGGAAGCTAATAAGATTCCAGTGAAATTCAGATTATTGTCAATTATCTCGTACCTGGATATTCTCATATGTACATGTAGTCCAAAGAAAAGTCACATACATGTGTACATGTATGGTGTCTACTGTACCAGGATTGCTAAATGAGCTTGTTGTAACCCTTATCACTGATTGTCCATTTGATATGAGGCAAATTACATAATGAACATGTACCATACCTACCAATGTACATGTACAGTATGATGTACAGTAATGTTGACCCTAACTACACCAAACCTGAGGTTTGGGCAGGTTTGATACCGTACCTAAAGAACTTCTTGTTGAATTTTGTGAGACTTGGGATGAAAGGCCCAGGGAGATGGTTTTGGATTCTGTGTGAGTTGGGACATACACAGGTCACTGTGTGCAGTGTCTGGCTTGCTGTACCAATTGTTGGACTATGCTTGATTTTGTCAGGTTTGGTACTGTTCAGTGCAAGTCATCCTTTACTGCATAGACCTATCCATACCATATCACTCAAACTCCAGTGGGCTCATTCTGTTGGAATTTATCAGGTTTGGTACAGTGACTTGTATGTACAAATATATACAGTGTAGACAAGTACATGTACATGCACCTGTTGGATTTTGTGAGGGTCAATATGCTCCCTAGTGCATAAGCTTGGGGGGCTAGGGTTAAAGATATACATGTACATACCCAAGTATCAGAACTGCACAGGATGACAATCATTTACTGACAAATTTGGGGCATGTTTGCCTTAAGCCTAATTTTGGCCTACCAGTATGTATTTTTCTGATGCCATCTTGTACCTGGAAGATGTCCCAGGATTATGCACAAGACATCCTGTATGCATTTGAAAGTAGCAACTAATGAGCACATGTGGATGACAGTGTCATCTGTAGTTCCCATGGCAACAGGGCCCATCATCAGTGGTTGAAATCAAAGCAAGCAGAGTGAGCATGCTGCTTTAGGCCAAGTGAAATGAAAGATCCAAAATCAGATCAATAGTTGTATGTGATTCTCTTGGTTTTATATTTCCCTTCAGCCCAGTCCCTCCCCAGTGTTTGTTAATGCTGACCATTTGAAGCAATCTCCAAACGACGTATCACCCAGCGACAGCTTTCAAATGGTATGTACGGAAGTTCAAATATCCTTGTCAATTTCTGGCTAGTTAGATCGCATTTTGTTGAAAGCATAACGAGGTACAAGCATTTAAGTAGTATCAAACAGGAGATATGCAACCATGTACTGAATGGATTTATACTTGATTTTATTTTCTTTATTTTTCAGAACAATATCGACGAGTGGGAATTCGAAGATATCATATTAAATAGGGTAAGTCTTGTCTGGTCAAACAGTTTTCCATTGTTGAAATTTATTCCTATCATATCAATCCTGCATTCTGATTCTCTGTGTCATTCACACACCATGATTAATCTTTGACTTTGCGGGATTACTCCATGTTGATTGTAGGGCGGAGCTGGACTCGGCTTCAGCATTGCAGGAGGTGTTGATAACCCACACATTGGCGATGACCCTAGCATCTTCATTACAAAGCTCATCCCAGGGGGTGCAGCATCAGTTGGTGGAAGACTCAGGTGAATATATTCTTACTGTTGAATTTCCAGTGGAAGGATGAAGCTTGTCCAAGATGTATCTTGTAGGAGCATACATGTAACCATTTAAATATCTTGTACAATTATCACATCAAGCTATGTAAGTTGTCACTTACTGATGTTCCTTTTTTGTCAAAGATGTTTATTTTATTGTAGATGTTTCTTTCCTTTTTTTCTCCTAGATTGAATGATGTCATTGTCAGAGTGAATGATTCAGATATCCAAAATGTACCCCATCAAGCTGCTGTGGATGCCCTTAAGAAGACTGGAAGCATTGTCAACCTGGTAAGTAGTCATCTTACCAAGGGTCAAAGGTTATATTAAGTAAGTACAAGCTTAAGGTCAAACAAAGTCAAAATAGATGAAGCTTGAATGTCCCAGCAATCAAAGAAATATCTTCCGATTTTCATTATGAACAGGTTGTAAGACGAAGGAGGCCGCGCCCTACTGGTAATGTGATCCGCATCCGACTCGTCAAGGGAACTAAAGGCCTGGGCTTTAGTATTGCTGGTGGGTGTGGTAACCAACATGTTGCCGGGGACAACGGTATCTTTGTTACCAAGATCATCGATGGTGGTGCTGCTCAGCAGGACGGTAACCTTCAAGTTGGTGATAAAATCATAGCGGTGAGTTGCATGGAAGAACCAAGATGAGCAAGTTGTGGTTAAGTGCAGGTCAACCCCCCATTCTGTTGCTCTTCAGCAATGCGCTAACGCAGCATAGTCTCCCTGGAGTGACCCTCGTCGAGTTTTTTTGTCAGAGTTCATCATTACATTATACTGTTGGTCACAACATGTCATTCATGGTCAATAACATCTTTTTCAGTTGTTCATGTGAATGGTTCCCTCAATACAATTACGAACAAATGAAATTGGCCATTGACAACCAGTGGTACAATAATGCCTCAGGTTCTGGTTCTGAATTGTCGAACTAGATTGTCCAAACCATCAGTGGTTTGGGCAATGCTGTTAACTATACTTGTCGCTTTAACATGCGGATGCTGTGCTTAATAGTGTTTGACTTCTAGCTGTTGGCCATTGTGGTTACATGTTTACAGGTTGGTAATCATAAGCTAGAGGATGTGACCCATGAAGAGGCTGTTGCTGTCTTGAAGGATACCAGTGATATTGTCTTACTGACTGTTGTCAAAGGTGCCGTCACCAACTACCCCTCACCACCAGCCAGTATAGCCTCACAGCCAGATGTCTCCAATGTTGCTCCTTCATCTCCGCCACCACGTAAGGACAAGGATTTTATTGGGGTTAGGAGATGTTTGTACCGCTGGCTTAGCTGGAAGTAAAAACTGCATGAGAACTAAGGAAAGAAATCTCGAGAAATCTCAAGAAATGAAGATCTAAAATTTGAAGATTCAAGGTCATTGTTACAAAGATTATACAAACAGTCATCTTGTGTTCTGAACCTTACAGTGAGTTTGTTTATTCATTTGGAGCACTCCATGTCAGGCAATAATGAGAATGTTTAAGGGGGGGAGGGAGCATGACTGACCCCAAATGACGTCACATTGATCCTGTTTTGACCTCTTGATCTCACAGCATATCCAGAAGCCACGACTGGTGTAGCTGGCCTGAGTTTACAGTCGGAGCCTATTCAGCAGCGTTCTCCTTCGCCACCTCATCAGGAGGAGCTGAACATGATTATCCCGCCTACATCCCATCATCCTCAGCAGCATCACCCAGATGTCCCCTACACCTCCATGCAGAAGACATACATGCCTCCCTCTCCTACGAAATATGAGGGTAATGGGGTCAAAGCCTACGTTCAGAATGATGACGAGTTTCCAAGGTGAGGATAAGTTCAACTAACAATTTTATCCAAGAAACCTACGTTGGATTTGAGAACAAGAAATCTCCATTTTATTATTAGACAAGATCACTGTACCTAATTTTTCCTAGCCCTTCCGTTTGTCATTGTTCTGCCTTGCTTTTTTGGAACCAGGGAGATGAGGACTGTAGTCCTGAATAAAGGAGCAACAGGTCTAGGTTTCAACATTGTTGGTGGGGAAGACGGTGAAGGGATTTTTATCTCCTTCATCTTGGCTGGGGGCGTGGCTGACCTCAGTGGAGAGCTCAAGAGAGGAGATCAGATATTATCGGTAGGTTCTGACTTGAAGGTAATATCACCATAGGAATACCAGATTAATACAGGTTATGAATTAAATGCACATTTTCATGTGAATCTTAGACATTGAATTCCTTTTCATTCAGATGATGGAACCAAAGATGGACATTCACTAAATATTTGAATAACCATCCATGATGTAGTTGAATGCTCTAGTTTTATTGACAGTTTTTACATAGCGATGAAAATGTCTCGCAGAAGGTGAACCAGTAACACTGACCCTGTACGAGTAAAAATAACAGTCAATGAATGTTTTTGTTGCTTCCACAGGTCAACAAGAAAGACTTGCGGAATGCAACCCATGAAGATGCTGCCTTAGCTCTTAAAGGCACAGGACAGACAGTGATGATTGAGGCTCAGTATAAACCTGAGGGTAAGGAGCTTCTTGAAAGTCAGAACTGGAGATCTGCTTGTCTCTGATTTCAAGTTCCTTCTTGATGTTTGGATGCTCTCATTAGCCTTGCTGGGAGGATAATTCAGGAGACCAGAGCTGATGTATCATTAACACACTAATTGCTAAAACAAGAGACTGTTTGTGAGCAAGACTAACTGACAACAAAAAACGGAGCGTGTTTCCAATCCCCAAAGTCACTAGAATTTCTGCTTTTACTCAGTGTGATGTTACTGATTCAAGCCCCCCCCCCAGCTTGCTGGCTAGTGAGTTTTATGGCAGTTATTTTTGGTTTGGATTGATGACAGAGTACAACCGTTTTGAAGCTAAGATACAATCACTGAGAGAGGAAATGATGAACAGCTCTGTGAGTAGTACCACGACAGGAAGTCTACGCACATCAGCAAAGAGATCACTTTATGTCAGGTATGCCCCCCCCCAACAAAAATCACCACAGTAACAGAATCTCAGATTTTAGATCTTAAAACACCTGAATCATCACATTAGTTTGATCCCCTTTGGAGCTAAGCCAAGGTTCTGTTATAAGGGTGAACAAGATAACCTGCCAAGTAAAATCCTGATAGAGATGCTGTGAGGTCATGAACTTGTATGTCTTTATGACTGCCTCTTTCTCAGGGCACTCTTTGACTATGACAAGACAAAAGACAGCGGTCTGCCCAGTCAGGGATTGAGCTTTTCATACGGTGACATTCTACATGTGACTAATGCTAGTGATGATGAATGGTGGCAAGCCAGGCAGGTGTTACCAACAGGGGAAGAGGGAGAGATGGGGGTCATCCCTAGCAAGAGGAGGTAAGGAAATGGGCATGTTTATCGCCCTCTATCTAGAAGCAACATCAGTGTGAAAAGTTCGGCCTGTAGTAGGTGTGTATACTGATGATGTCACAGTTTGTTTACATGTACACTTTCCTATGGAGCCAGTGGGGGATGCTGTTGTATACAAAGTGTGATGTCATCAGCACTAAGGTCTGTGTGGCTGTTTGAAACTCCATGCTTGGTCACATTCAGACTGAGTTTGATTTGGCATTGGTAAACAGTAAGTCTTATTACCTGACCAGCTTCAGGGGCGTACAACATCACTGTTAGTTTACGCGCACAGCTCTTTAAGGTGCTTGTTACAAACATCCTACGTTGATTAGTTTTGTGAATGTCGAATGCATCTGGAGCTGAAGATACTTGGTATGCAGGATTCCTTGTGGACAGTGTGCAGAAGGTTAATATAGGATATTAAGTTGTCACCTCAAGATGGGTTGGTTTTACTCTACAGGGTGGAGAAAAGAGAAAGAGCGAGGCTGAAGAGTGTCAAGTTTTCTGGCAGGGGAGGAAGTCTTGAAAGCAAGGTGAGCCATTGGATTAGATACTTGTAAGATTTCCCTCTTCAGAATGTCACATGTGAGAGTGAGAAAATCTTTATAAATTGTATTTGGTATGATCAACTGGAAACCAGTTGTAGAGTTCTAGAGTTTCGGTTGGGAGTTGGAAGCCACAGTGTTTTTCTCTAGTCTGTCATTAATTGCTAGAGACAGGTGTACATACATGTATCTTGAGGATGTTCATCGGTTCACCTGTTGTGAGCTAATACTATTCCTTATTGATTTGCCTAGGGGTCCATGAATGAGAAACGCAAGAAGGGTTTCTTCTCGCGGAAGTTTAAGAAGGGACGGGAGAGTGACCAAGACACAAGCGATGCTGAACGTGAGTCAACTTGAGAGGATTGTTACTCATCCAGCTGTGGTTGATGTGTTTGATTTGTCTTGCTGTCTGTCTGCATGTTGACTGTATAGCGTAGGATCGACTAGTCCTTGTAGTTTGTCCGTCTTATGTAAGAGTTCCTTCAAGGTTGAACAAGCAGTCCCAACATGTATCCTGATTACTATTACTATTAGTTTGCAAATTCATGAAAGTTCAAACAAATACTGTGCACCAATTTAATTTAAGCCTGTTGATTTAATGAAAATGCTGATACTTACAATTTAATTCTTTAGATGAGAGTCGGAATAGTGCCGTGAGCTGTGTGTTCTGTAAAATTCCACTTCAGTAGGCTCTCAGATTTTCTGTGGTTTTGTTGTACTCTGTTGAAGATTTCTCTGTTTTTATTCCTTGGGATTTCCGGTGTGGAAATTTTTCCTTCTCACGCCCACAGACATCACCTCAAACGCCAGTGATAGCGAAAGTAGTTACAGTAAGTTGTGTCTTCGACCTTGACATTTGACACTTTGACCTTTCAGCCCACAGCCTCGTCCATTATAATGTGACTTTAACCTTTGACCTCAACGTCTACTCACTCCATGTTGTGCAAGTTTTTCTGCTGTGGTTGCATTCCAGTGTCTATTTCGTCTGCTTTGCTTAACATTATAAAGTTGTTTGTTTATGTAAACATTTAAGTGTTTCACACAGCGTTAGCAAATTTGTCTAGTAACATTTCATTTTGTGTACTTGTTGATCTGTCTGCATGGTTCAGGAATCACAACAGCTGCCATGCTGAAAATGTGGAACTATATCACCACAATTCCTGGAGCAGTTGTCTTATTTTGTTGTTCTCATATTTTAAGTAATGATCATGAAGTACCATTACTCTCTCAAAAAAAAAGACTTTCAACATTTTCTCCACACCCGAAAAAGTGACACAGTGGTCTTGTTTTATGAAAATGTTCCTTCTCTCTCACAACTTACAGTTTTTCACTTCATTTGTGAATTTCCTTTCCTTAACCCTAACCCTCCTCAATCCTTCACCTGTTGGAGGACTTAGGAGTGTTAGGGTTAATGCTTCATGAATTGTGAAATGATTTCCACATCTGTGCTCAATCCTTAATCATCCTCAGCTATCTGGTATTTGAGCGCACCAAGAATTCTCGGTCATAGAAATACCTACCAAAGTTTCTGTGTTGCAAACGGAACACAGAGTGCACGGCCTATGGTGAATTCCAAACACATTCCGGGACCCATGTGATAATTTGTATTTGCTGTATTGCCAAAGGCTCTGCTGTGCTCATGTCATCACATGCATTAGTCAAGGATGCCACTTTCAGATACAAACTAAGACAAATCGTAGACAGTGGAGGATACCTGTCAGAAAGTCTTTATCTCACCATTGTCAGACCCAGTGAAGTTCTTCTATGTACCATTGTGGTACTGTAACAACATAAACCATGCTAGTTTTGTTTCTAAAACCTTACCTCACATTTACCCCTCACATTACACCCTTCATTTCTATCCCATCTCTGTTCCTTATTCCTGCCCTCCCATCTTCCTTCGCTTTATTAAGAAACTCCGCCCACTCTGGAGCACTTTTTCTTTTTCCTTCTGAACCTTTATCTTTGCCACAGCTGCCTTAAGTAGTTCCCTGAAGGCCAGTCATTGCTAATACACTGATGTACTAAAATGTAGCCAGTCTAAACCTCACGTTGCCTCGTGTGTGTTGATACCATCCCCTCCCCTAAACCTTCTTTTGATGCCAAATTGTTTACCACGCTGCCTGTATAAATTTGCTCTCATTTTCTACATCGTTGTAGCCCCTCACCCTGCAAGTAGTTGTTATAATGTTGTCCCATTCTCTGTGGATTTGCATTGCACAACTAACCCAAAATGCTTGTTTACTTGTAATTTTCATCTCTGCCTGCAAGAAACCAGAACAGTTTTCATGAATGAAAAATGATTAAATATTACTCATCTCTGACTAAATAAATCTACAAAGTCTACGTTTTATGAAAAGCACATCCAATCTTATTACCAACTGCTTTGATAAGAGAACTACATAGATTAGATGAAATACATTGCACTTGAGAGTGTAGGGTCAGGTTTGCAAACCCACATGTGGTGTATTAGGACAAGATTCAGTCGTAGACATACAGGTTGGGAAACCCACATGTGGTGTATTAGGACAAGATTCAGTCGTAGACATACATGTACATTGCTTGGTCTTTACACCAATCACACTTCTCTGAAGTTGCATTGAATGCAGAAGTCTGAACCTCTAGACTCACGAAAGCATTCACTACACGGATTGAGATTACCGGTATGTTGGCCGTAAGGTTTTGGGGGTCCAAATACTAATTGTTTTTATTTTTTTGTCAGGGAATGATGAGATGATTCTTTCGTATGAGGGAGTAGTCCAACAAGAAGGTAAGAGGTTGGAAGATATTTGTTGTGAGGAATCCTTTCATAATGAGAACAAAAAGAGGTCAGAGATCTTTATCCTTTGGCTGTACCAAACTTAACATGTTGTCAGCAAAGTATGGAGATTTATGGTCTGGCTGTTTTGGGGTCCATTATTGTTTCACTTATTGAAAATTTCTGGTAATGAAAGGTGACCTTACTTTCATACGTATCCCCACTTTTCTCTTCCAATTTCTAGTCAAGTACACCAGGCCAGTGATCATTCTTGGCTCGGGCAAGGATCGTGTCAATGATGACCTCATCTCAGAGATGCCTGAGAAATTTGGAAGCTGTGTGCCCCGTAAGTCTCAAAAATGTGTGAAAAACACCACTTCTTTGTTACAGGAAATACATGTTTAGGAACAGAAAGTATGAAATATTGAGAGAAGTTGTCATGAATAGTTTTATTCAGCTGTTAGGCTTGCTTCTCATCATCAGATGGTATAATACATGTAGTCACAGAAATGCCTAGCACTTTCAACATTTGTGCAAATCAAAAGTTACTGCTCTTTTCCTCCAGACACGACGAGGCCGAGACGACCCCACGAGGTGGACAAGCGAGACTACCATTTTGTGGAGTCTAGAGAACAGATGGAGAAGGACATACAGGATCATTTATTCATCGAAGCTGGCCAGTATAACGATAACCTGTATGGTACCAGTGTTGCATCTGTCAGAGAAGTCGCAGAAAAGGTAACAAAATGAAACAGCAATTTGTTATTTCAAGAATTAACGTTTCATCATGCTCCAACCCGACACTTCTCTTAGAAAATGAGAAAAACACTTTCCTGAATAAAAATGATGTCATGCATTTGTAGATGTCAACTCTGTTATTACGGAGGAATGATTAAAAGTGAATCTTTTTCCTGCCTCCTAGGGTAAGCATTGCATCTTGGATGTGAGCGGGAATGCCATCCGAAGATTACAGGTTGCCAACCTCCATCCCATTGCCATCTTCATCCGTCCCAAGTCAGTGGATTCCATCATGGAGATGAACCGAAGGATGTCAAGAGAGCAGGCTGAGAAGACGTATGAGAGAGCCATCAAATTAGAACTGGAGTTTGGTGAATATTTCACAGGTTAGCCTCACATTCCTTGCTCTTGAGGAACTTGTGCATGGGGAGTGGGGATTAAATGTCTTAACCACTTGCTGCCAGGGAACCCCTTTTGAGCACCATGAGTTTATACGCAGAGCCAGGGTGCCTGAAATTGGACAAAAGAGCTGGTCCGTGTAACAAAAGACCATACTCGGATCAAAAGACCTGCTGCTGGGAATTGGCATCATTTTTAAACAGTGTACCACTGTTTTGGGCATAGCGCGCTCCTGGATTAGCACCGCAGACAAAAGTGCTCCAGGGCCCCATTGATGAGTGACACAGCACTGCTGCATGCTAATCCAGCAGCGTTTGAAAAGACGCCGCTCACATTCATTGGGGACAAAGGAAATTACACAACACCTCACAATTCTGGGCTCTCTTTGCATGGCGGCAAAGCTTAGAGTAGCCAACAAAGAGACATTTGTGTGGGTGTAAATGTCCATTAAATGAAATGATGAATTTTTGAAGAATTTTGAAACCGAAAATTCTGAAAATCTCCCATATGTGTGCACTGCATTTTTAAAAGCACCCGGCAGCATGTGGTTAAACTAACACTACAAGGGATAATTTTGGAATACTTGAAAAGTTGCTTTGGGGGAAGCCATTTTTTTGTTCTTTTTTAATGCAGACTGTTCCAAGAACGCTCCTTGAAAAGGAAGTCTTTAGACCAGGAAAATAAATTTGTCAAACTGAAAGAATTCTTGTCTTTTTTGCAGCCATTGTTCAAGGTGACACGATGGATGAGATTTACTACAAATGCAAAGAGGTAATCCATGAGCAGTCAGGCTCGACGATTTGGATACCAGCCAAGGACAAATTGTGATCCCACTCAAACCTAGTAGAACCCACTTCAATCCATGATACAACCAGTGTGGTACCTACTTGAGCCTGTCACATCCTGCTTGGAGGAACCCAGATTGGCAGATACTTTCTGGATTCAAAAACATGAAAACAAGATGTGTATAAAGTGTGTAGAAGGAAAAGAGCTTGTTTTTTTAAATTCCAAGCCATCGCAGATTTGAACCCAGTAAAGTAACCAGTAGCACCTGTTGCAATGATAGAGCAGTTAGGGCACCCATTTTAGCCCATTGAAGTAAAAGTACACATCCTGGGTGCAAGGATTTATTAGTGTGTGCCATTTCTGTTTTGTGCACATAGTTTATGTTAACATTCAAGCCCAGGTGTGTGAGAGCCCAGTAGAACCCATTTCATTCATTCTCTTATCAAGAGAAGAACCCATCTATACCCGTAGGAAAGCTCCAAGTTCTTTGCTGCATAATAATGTGATTTGATTGCTGAAGAAAAACAATCTGCACATGGTTTGCTGAATACCGATATCCAGACATTGTTGGGTTGAAGTTTCTAGCTTAAGCTACACAGTGAAAGCAGAAATCAATTGTGGGATGAATGGGGTACATTGCATTTAAACAACACAGATTGTTTAGGTACCAGCGGGGTGCCTTTCTGGGCTAAAAGGTACTGTAGACTTGTTATCTCAAATATCCTGGTTGTAGTTAGCAATGTTATTCCTCCCAATACCACAGTCTCAACTCCTTCCCTCTTTTATCACAAGATTATAAATTTCTTTGAAGTGTACAAAGTGTAAATTTAGCACGATAAGAGGCCTAGCAGATAATGTTGAAATTTTATGTTGAGTTTGGGTAGCAACAGAAGCCACAGCGTGAAGGCCACACAAATTTCTTGTATTTAGCTTGTTTTTGGTACTACATGCTTGTTAGATTGATAATGCTTCACAGGACTTCTTTTTGGCTTGGTGGTTTCGTTTCTTCAAAAATATTGATTGTTCTTATTGATTAGGGCACTGTTTATGCTAGTGCTGTTAAGGATTTCTTTGTATTTTTGATGTTGGGACTTACACAGAAATTTGGCCTGACTAGCTGGAGTCGTATTGCAGTTCTAAAATGTTAATTTAGATGCTTTGGGGGGGGGGCATAAGAAATTGGTTCTGCTTACCAGTACTTTATTTCCATCTGCTATTTTCGTAAGTGTCCTGTTGTGGCTTGGGTGATGAGATTGAATAGTTCAACATCAGAGTTGAACCATGCAGTGGCCAAACCAAGGCTAATTTGTAAAATAGTTTGGCTCTAGTATGCACGTCATTCAATCAAGTTCTTAGAGCTATGAATTGTACATAACAGACTTGGTATCACTTCTTGAAAGCAGCTTTCTAAGTCAATGAAAGTTCATCAAACTTCACAGATCATTTCATTCACATACCTTGACAGATCTTTGGCAGTTGTTACCCTTCAGGTTTTTACAGAAAAGTGTAAATGCCATTGCATTTTCTCATCCACCCCAAAATGGACACCTGGTGGGGAAAAGTACGTACTGAACTCTCTCAACTATCAACGAATTGTTCCTTTTGGGCTGTTCATAAAGTATAAGTGCTTGGTTGTGAATTGTCAACATATTTTTCTGTTTTAATTTAATGTATTTAAAGCTCTGTGTAGGATTCTGTTCTCTTATTCTATCAGCACAGTTATTCGATTGGTTTTAATCATGAGTATTGGCCTGTATTAAGTTTCAAAAGAAATAGTTTTGTTTTAAAAGCAGAGAATGCTTTCAGATTTTTGGATATTTCATCAAGTAAATCATTTCTGGTCTTTGTGTAATTATTTTCGATGAAATTTTGTATTTGAAATGGACCTGTTTAGCTGTCTGAATTGGCCTCCATCATTGTTTTGTTGGTTTTTTTTGGTTTGATTTTTTGTCTATTTTTCTGGAAATTTTGCTTAGTAGGTTATGCTTGTAGAAAACAATGAGTTACCCTATTTATGTTTAAGAATGTTCAATGTGTGCACAAAATGCACCTGTTGCACTGGACATGTTATGCCTCTGATGTCCTGAGAGTGGCCACATTACACAGGTGGCTGCCATCTTAGTTTGTACAGAATGAATGATTGCTGTCAGTTGGCTGCATTCAAAATGCCCTGGGCTATTTTTTCCCAAGTGGCACTTAATGGTTCACAATATTTTACAAATTACTGAGATCCTTTACAAAGAGAGGCTAGGAAAGGGGAGGCCAGAATTGTTTGACAAGATAAACATTCTGAAAAAAAAGGTATCCCTCTTATGATATATTTGTTGTGTCATTTCACCAACAGTGATTTTTGTTCATAATGTACAACAGTTTTCATTTATTGGTAAGAGGACTTTCATGTACCTTGGAAGATTACTTAAGAAAATGGCTAATTGTATGCATGTTAGCCCTAAAGCAATATTTCTTTGCATGACATGCATTTAATGAATGCTTTGAAATGGGTTTGTGTATTAAGCTGCCATGTGTTTTGTTGCCAAATTCTACTGCTCCAACTACACGCCGAAAATTGAATTTCAGAAGCTGTTTGCGCATGCTACATGTACACTGTATGTCCTATGTTTGATGTAGCACCTCAGATTAAAAAAAAAAAGGTCTACATTACAACAGAAGTTTCACCAACATGAAAAGTTGTCACACCTGATCAAAGACTGAAAGGCCGAAGCCTATTGGCCAGTCTCAGTGGAAAAAAAATTTAAACAGATGCCCGGAAACTTTGTTGGTATAAAAATGAATTGTAATATAAACTGTTCTTAGACTGTTCATTGATGGTGTTCGGAGGATATAATCTGATAAGTGTAACTTTGAATTGGTCAAAGTACAGAATGTTTGGGTGTATTTGACAAATTTTCAACAGAGATAGGGCCAGTTGTCAAGGAGCCAAGAAATGGCTGAGCTTCCTTTTAAGATCATACAAAAAAATGTATTTTTCTGTTTATACAATTTGAATTAATTTCATGTACAACTGTCAATATTTTTATAACTTGGTTGCATGAAAAATAATGTTGTAGCCTGAACCATCAGATTTACCACTGACAGAGTTCACGCCATTTACACAAATAAATCGGCAAATGCATTTCCTTAACTTGTCATCCTGAAAACAAAGAAAGTGTAAGGAAAGCTGATGTACACTAAGAATCCTGTTTTTAATCAAGCTTGTAGATTTTGCCTACTTTAATTGCTTACATTTGCTTTTCAAAATTGCATGCTACTTTGAATATCAATTGAAACAGCCATATGTGATTTTTTTAAGCACACTATTAATCAGAATATAGAACGGTGTATTATATTGATAATTACAACTGAGTGGTCTTGCACAGTTACTTGTATTAGTTATTATTTTCTTATTGTATGAGAATTATAATAAAAATATTGGGCTTATTTCAGAAATTTGAGTTTGGTTCTGATTTTGTCCCGAGTTGGAGGTACAGGTGAAACTTGAACGGAAAGTATTAAGTTTGTGAGCTGCCCTTTGGAATTTTAACAGACTCTTGCATTTTACGTCCTGCATAAAGTATTTCCCCAAAAACTTTAAAGCAGGTGAAAAAAAGTTTAAAACACAGTTTATCCTGCAAGCTTCCTGAGCTCCTCAGTAAGGCCTTTTTGTCTCTCATCCTTTTAGTGATTGAAATAAACCCACTTAAAGTCTGGAACATTAGATTTCCCCTTCAATTCATGGACCCTAAAAGCACTGCCTATACTGAAAAGTCCCAAACTCGCGGTCACACACTCAGCCCCTTCTCAGCTGAAGACTTCCAGCCTTCCAGCAAGTACCCCTTGCCATTTCCAATGCAGACTTTGCCTGAAAATATTCTAAGTCCAAACACCAGAAGGTTTAACATTTAGAAACGAGCACATTTATTCAAGAAAGAGCCGTGGCATAGCGGTTAAGGACACTGACTGCTATGCACAAGGACCTGGGTTCAATCCCAGGTGGGCATGCACAATTTTGTTAAAAAACTTAGTAAAAAAAAAAAAAAAAAAAAAAAAACCTCCTTTTCCGGGGACCCCAGCTGGAATTGAACCGGGGTCCCCTGGCCTGGCAGTCAGCAAGCTAACCCACCAGGCCACAGGCCTCTTGATAAAGATGATTTCGGAACTTATATTTAAACGTTAGGATTGCGCAATTTCGAAAACAGTCAGAGGTCACAGCTTATCTGCATATATAAATAAAGGATAAATTTGCATATGTAAACAAACTAAAGAGCAATGCGAGCAAGTAGAAACAGATTGAGCCAGAGTGCAGAACCTCGCATGTATTTCAGTTGCAAATTTGCGGCTCAAATTATGCACGTCAAGCTTTCTATGCATAACTTCCCTCCAAATATTTATTGTACACCATGTATTTTTCAAAAAGATCAGTTCAACTGACAGAAACGTTAACATAACTTAAAAAAAGATTCTGCAAGGATCCAAACCTCAGGTCCTCTACCTTATTCAATTAAGAGCATACGTGTACTTCAGACAGGTTGGTAAAAATAGGACTCTTGTTCTATATAGCGATTCCTTGAAATATGAAAATTGCAATAACCGCTTATTATGAATGGGGCATTCATTCTAACCACAGGAAAAAAAAGCAAAAATTTGGACAGTTCAAAAAATGCAAATCATTCAACTGGTAAGACTTAGAATGCATTTTTTTTCCAGTGTCCTCAATATATTAAAAGAGCACTACATGTATTGGAAATACACATACACAGCTACAATAAAGGTCTTGAAATTTCAGTGTATTCCGTAAATTGCCTTTAGCGTACTTGATGCACAAAATGCATAGTAATAATGGTTTAATAGGATTAAGGCATTTTTTTCTCTCAATTATGACATTTGGGAAAAGCAATTGAATATGACCTTGGTTTTTCTCCAGTGACAAAAGTATACCATTTCATGCCAAAGCAGTCCAAAACTTTGTCTTATCCTTCACGGAAAATATCTTCTCCTTGTTCCAAACAAAAAAAAGTCTCCAACCTTGTTTACCGTGTCAACATACAGCTGTACACTACTGTAACAAATCTAATCTTCGAACTTTGTAATACTGTGTTTGTACTAACTAGCTATAATCTGTGAAGTGAAGCCTTCCAAATACAGTATGACCGAGTAGGAACCACTTCACCCTACTTTACTTGCTGATGTTCTTTTGTCTGCATGCACAAGAAAAATAGACATTACGTTACATTAGATTATTGGGAAAACTGAAATGAATGTACAGGAATTGGGAAATATACATAGCTTTATTAAAAATACAGCACTAAACTTTAGTTCAGTAACATCAAATATTGTTTTCGTCTACATTATTTCTAAACTTCAAGTGTTTTAAAAGAATCCATGACTCTCCATCACGTTTTCATGCTGTAGATGGCAGAATACAGCAAACAAATCACTGAAATGAATACAAGGCTACATTTTGTAAAATCTTCAGCCACACTGTCAATGTTTTTTAGAGTGCGTTCGAGCGAGCTACTTGCATTAACACGGGTATACCCCTGAGTGCTCGAATGGCTAGAGTACAACCCGAGGATCAGTGAGAGTTTACTCTTGCTAGAGGGGGAGTCTACCTCTGTACCCGAGTGTAATGCGCACGCATCCTACTCGTGTTAACAGGAGTAACCGTGCGAACGCACCCTTAGTGAGGCTACAAAATGCATGTACGAAATCATGATGAAACCCATACACAGCACAGTCCACACTGACAGTTCTGAAAACAGTTTTGACTTTAGGGTCATATTCAGTCATTATTCATTTTCCACATAACTGTAAGAGTATAATTAAGATATCACAAGAGGTATGAATGTGGATGGGGTTCCATAGAAACAATGTTTGTCGAGTTGGGACCCCAATCAATACATGTATACATAATGTACATTACAAACACAATAATCATAACAATATACTTGACAATAAGAAGACAGTCTTGTAACCCTGTAAGACATAAAGATTGAATAAAACTTAGTAGTATTTATGTGCTTGGTTAATAGTTTAGCCTTGTATTTTTGTTTGAATGTTTGTAGATTCCAACAATTCTTTACAGAGGTATCCAGGGAATTCCACAGCTTGGGACCCTCATGTTTCACTGTGTTTTGTGTAAGAGTGCTGTGTGCAAAGGATTGATGAAGTTTCTTATGTCATCTGGTGAAGTGGCGCACCTCTTCATTTAGAGTAAACATAAAGCAAATGGATTTAGGTAATTTTTTATTGTTTAATTGTTGCATGAGGATCCCAAGCTGAAGAGAATTATACTACAGCCTACTAGGCCTAAAGAAAGTTTAAGGGTTTTATACATGTAGGCCTAGGCCTATAAAGTATAAAAGACCCATGAAAAAGAGGATTACCATGTTCAAGACAAGTGGCAGAGTGGAAATATTCTTAAAACTTTTTTGTAGTGCTAGTATTCTATTGATTAAAACAACCCAGCAATTTCCCCAGGCTAAAATCCCATAGGCCTATGACATAATGTTAAATACGGTACAATTAGGCCTAAGTAAGTAATAAGTTTTTTTAACCAGTTAGGCCCATATAGATATAGGCCATGTGGGCCTAACTTTCCGAAGGGACTCACTATTAATACATCCGATATTTTCCCTTTCCGTCAGAGTATCAATTCAATACCCACCAGTTTGGCGAAGTAAGCAGCCATGAAGCATAAAAGTCACGCAAGGTGGTAACATAATTCAGGTAAACCAGTAAAACAGAGGTATTTTCTGGGCAACATCGTCGTCGAGCTGTGCATAAAGTTAATACCGTACAATGTATAGGCGCAGTAGCAAAAATTGAGTATAGGTCATCATAGAGCAAAAAAAAAACAAACATGGGCTCTGACTACAAAAGCCCATAAGTGCCATCGTTTTTTCGTTTTCAAACAGCTTTGTTATATGTATTTTCGAACAAATTTATTTTGATATCAAGCAGCCTTATTTTGATTTCAATTAGATTAATGTTATTGTAAACTCTAGTCTCTCGCCAGTATTAAATCGCCAACAAATTATGTGGAGATTGGCGCGTGCGTGGCGCGCCAGTACTGCGTTATCCATTGTGTGGCGCACGCGCAGAACGCTAGACCTGCCACGTGACAGGATTTTGACCAACAGGAATGGCTAAACTCTCTTAGGTATTTATGATTAACAATTATTTGCTCACTTGATGACAGTTTTGCGTTACCCAGACCCCTTGTTAAACTAGACCTATGGTTAAACTCGGTATTACTCGTTTTACTCCGCCGTCTACAAGTGTAGTTTTATGTTAAGCCACGAACTCCCATAAAATTGTCCTCAATTTAAAAAGGAAAAAAAAAGCAACAACAAAGGAAACGAAAATAGAATGAATACACTAACATAGGTCTCCGAATAAGGTCTTGACGAATAGCCTTTTACTACCCTATTCATTTGAGACTTCAGTCTCGTTACTTTTTCAAGTTTGGACTCAGAAAATACACTTTGAGTTGAGACTACGACGCACAGGTACCGTGTGCAGTGGGAATTTCTGCACAACTTTTGTCCAATGATGTCGGTCTCGGCTTAGCCCAACACGAAAAGCTGTAGTGGCTGTCTTTTACAACCTATCTCTTATCTGTCGCCACCATGACGGACTGTAAAGAAGAGCCACTACAGCCCTACGTGTGGGGCTAGTCTTGGCTATAAGCTCCACCGTCGAACCAATCTTATTCAGATTATCCCATCAAGAGCTTGCTTGAATGTCACGATCTCTAAGAGATTTTTAAATCCCAAATCATTTTTGATTTCCGAGTAGAAGAAATTGGGAGCCTCGGTGGAGATGGTCTTTAGACCGAGTAACCGCTGTCCGTTGTAGCCGTCGAAACGGTTCTTGAGCCCGCCTAGTCCGTGTTTGGCCAGCCAGGTGTTGACTTGGTCATTGGTCCAGGTAGATACCGTTTTGGCGTCCGTGTGTTCTTGGCTGCCGGGGGTTTTGACGTTAGTGCTCCGCTGTGTGGGTGGACGCCGTTGCATCATCGATACATCTTTCTGTGTTCCGCTGGCATTATGCGAATCTGTATTACCAAATTTAATTCACCCATAAAGATTTCATTTGCAATGGCTTTCCAGGCTTTTCTCAGCTACAGCACTGTTCATTTGCAAATCAACTAAATACAAAAACATTATGCCTTATTTAATAAACATCGGCGGACCTCTGAGAGAAATCATTTTGGCATATTTTGGTCTAGAACGAGCGAGGAAATATACAGATTAGGAAAATACATATACACTCGGAGCGGAACAGTAGCGCCTTACTTTCGGCCGTTTTATGAGAACATTTGCTATTAAGACTTTCCAGTCAGATAAATTGAATATCGGCGTGTCATAGGCCTATAGAGCTCAGCAGCATTGTGAAGTTTGGCTTCCAAATAAATAAAGATATTATGTACCTTGTAGAGTGGAATTGAATGTGTTGTGTAATCCTTCCTTGAGCATCCTGCCTCTTCCTCCAAGTTGTTGCTTCAACTTGGTGAAGTCCTCCCCCAAGGAATTCGCTCTACTCATATCTACATACAGCTTGGCACCAATCATGATGCCCAGCCAACCGTCTGGATCGTAGTCCTCCTGAAGACGTAGCGGGATGATAGGCTTCTGAAGCTTGTAGGTGTACTCAGCTTCTGTCATCACCAAAAGGCAAATATAAAAGGGAAATATAAAAAGGATAAACATTGGTGGGGAATATGTTGGGATAATAGTGGGCTATCTGCTCAGAATGTACTATTTATCTAGATAGACCAATATAAAAGAGCCACATTTCTCATTTATAGTTTTCTTTATTGAGCGCTCACCTGTTCGGCAACTAGCACTTTGTTTGTATTTTTCAGTGAAGCATATGAGCACAACGGCAGATCTTTCCACAGCTGCTGCCATAGACTCAAGCGTAGAACCACCTGAAAAAGATTCGAGACAAATATCGATGATTGAAATCTCCAAATAAGCACAATCAGAAGCGTTTTATCGATACCATCAAAAGGAACCACAAACCTACCCATGTTGTCTACATCCATCCACACACTGTATCCGGATTCCTTCAAAAGTTCTTTTATCTTGATCATTTGCTTCTGTACTCCCCATTGGTAGCTGATCATCACGTGAGGTACCTCGTCACCGAAGTCATCGTCGTCGTCTAAATCAAGACCTTCTCCATCCCCGCCTTTTTCAGCATCGTCTGGTTTGTCTTCTGATTTCTCCTGTGAAGGAAAAAAAGGAGCCTAGATACTAAAAAAAAACCACTTCATTTCTTTGGTGAAATGGCAGAAGGGGGACCTACGGAGACCCAGTCTTGTAAAGGTTACCCCCTTTACATTTTGGACCCCATTTTTCATCGAGTTTTTCAAGTAACATAAACTTTTGTGAGTCTCTGTTTGGTTTTGTTTGGCTTCTGAGTTCTTTGTCCTCCATATAGATTATTTGAAAGGAGACTTTTGATCTCATAAAAGCTCACGTTATCCGCGGTCGCGATTGGTCTGGCTCGGTGTTTGCCAGTCAAAGGTCGGCTCCCGCGTCCACAGGACTCGGAATTATCGAAGGTATAGTCCAGCATCCACAACACCGTCTTGCAAGCCTTCAGAAGCCCTGGGTCCGATTCATGGCTTAAAAGTTCCTTCAAGTCTGGATTTGGTGAAATTAGAGTTTATTTTACGAAACCTTGATGATAAAGTAGCACTCAGTCGGCATCGAATTGAGTGAATAACAGGAAATGAGTCTGGGAGACAAGGGGGAAATTTCGTTGCATTAAAACACGAGTCGTATAATTTTATACAACCTATCAGAAGAATAACAATGTCTAACATTTCACCTCTCTAGCGTGAGGGTTGAAGTAATCAAAAGAGGAAATTAGTTACTTGTGATCAAGGTGTCGTTTGTCTTGAATTGTTTCTTATTGTCTTCATGGAACGCTAGCTTCCATACGGCTTTAGCGGCAGCGTGTTTCTCACCCACTCTCTCCGTCCTCAACATGGTGATCAGTTTATCGATAACGCCTTTCTGTTAGTACAACAAAACCACATGCCTCGACACATTAATCTACATCCTGTTTGAATATTTTTTTGAATTGCGAGGCCGAGTCACTTAAACGATAACTTTGCGATAAACAAGTGGGACAATTCTGCGAAGACTAAATACGAGTTTGTTTGTCTTGAAAATACTGGACAAGGGAGACTACCTCTTTACTTTATAAAGACTGTCACAGATATCCCGCTTTTCAAAATGTCACTGCAATTAAGAACCGTGCATTGTCATGACTCTGCAATAAGGATTGGTAGATCTAATCTGGACTACTGAAAAGCAAATAGAAGTAGTTCGTACCTTGACGAGTTTAAGTTTATTGGAGTCGTTTCCAGCCAGATAAACAATCCCATCCACAACTACCTCAGCTGAAAAGGTGTAATGTTCCGAGTAATGACCCTTCTCATTCAGGCACTTTCCCAGAACCTTGGTGTAGGTTAACACCAAAAAGTGTTAATACAAGTCATTACAAAAACTGCCGTGATAAAACAACCATTCAGTGTATCAGGCATACCATATACGTCAGTCAGTGAAACGATCCCCCCTACCGTTACAAGAGGAACAAAAACTCGTTCATGAGAACTTTCACTGATGCTGATTAAGAGAATAAAATACAGCAAAAAGGAAAAAGAATTCAAAATTACCTACAATTTAGTATAGACATGGATCATGAAACCCGTAAATTTCTCAATTGTAATCAATTATAGAATTAAACAAACTAGAATCTTTTCAAGTAAAAGATAGGTTAATCACCTTGATGACGAAATCAATGTTGTCGTCTGTCGTGTTGAGAGCCTCGTTTTCGTCCTCATTAATTAGATATACAAGGCACAAGAGAGCTTTGGCACGCATAATCATAAAGCGGCATTCGAGCAAAGCTGGAAACACGAGAAAATTTGGAAGAATGAAATTATTTTTGCCAGTGCAATAGCAAATTGTTTGTGCTCATTATCTGACGTTTGTTCGTCGCTGTAGTTTTACTATGCCGCTCCTGATGGGGCAGAACAAGAGAAAGTTACACGTACCTTTAAGATGAGGCACGATGTTGGCCTGACGAAAGACTAGTTTGTTGTCAATGTCTCCGCGGATGATGTTCGCTAAGATGTTTATTGTCTTCTTGAGTGTCTCTCTAGGAGAGTCCCAGAGAGCCTTCTTAACGCCATCCTTCAAGGCTTCCAACTTCATCAAAGGATGTTCGAACTCCTTAGCAACGAGAGGAACTATTCCACGTTCAGAGCTGCCCATCGCTCCGCAAAGTTTTCGACTCACGTGGGTGAAATTAATGCTAGCTTGTTTGAGGAGATTGTAGACAATGTACTGCCTGTACTGTTCTTTTGACGTGTAGATATCGTCATGATAGACTCCGTTCCAGATTTTCAAGAACAAGTCGGGGTATCCTTCCTCAACCAATTCGTCTGCTGTCTCCGGGTCCGTCAAGTTGCTCATTTGGCAAACATTCAGGAGGTCTGCCATAGCGCTGTCGTCGGTGTAGATTTCCACTTCACGCAGTTGCTCCAATGAATTCAGAAAGTTCGAGCGGAGGGCCTCTCGGCGACCCGAGTTTTTCTCAAAAGCTGATGGATCAGCGGGGCTGCATGGAGCGACAGTACCACCAGTATTTGTAGCCTGTTTGAGGAACTCCACGCATTTTAATACAATATTCTCATCCTTTAATGAGTTCTTATTCTTAGATTTGTTTTCTTCTTGGGATGGTTTTGACTTGACAGCAGTCAGAGTAACTGAAGGAGGATCACTAATTGCCGTGGGAGACGCGCTAGCTTCTTGCTTACTGGCAGCAGCACTTTGCGACTGTGATATCCCGCTTGGAGATTGCTTAGCAGATGGGTCTGATGACAAACTCCCGTTGTTTGCCATAGGCTCAGGTCCCCTGCCATCTTCGTGTGTTTGGCTGGGATATTTGGCCGAGTCATCACTGGTGTTTTGGCCAGCAGCATCAGCGTGTTGGTCGGTGGCAGGTGGTACTGTTGGAATTCTAGCACTTTGTGGAGTAGGTGGTCGATTACGGGCACTGCTTGCAGCGCTACCCATATCTTCAGATCGAACTACTGGCTAAAAATGACAGTAAAAAGTGTTAGACGTGAGCGACTTCTAAAATCGTTATTGAATTCATAACTATTGCGCTTTGAAGATTTTGGTCTGCCATTTTCCCTCATATAAAACATTGCACAAAACTATCATGAAGTCACTCCATTCTGTTTCCGTCACAATCTTCACCATCCTCGTCCCTACCATAGGCCTAATCGCCACACCCCCGCCAAAGAAAAAAATATATACCACGCACTATTGTAATCTAAAACCTTCCTACCTCATACAGAGCACACTCCTGTCGCCAAATGTCCAATCGGGATGTATTTTCAACAAACAGTTATCCTGAATAAAGATTATTTGTAAGAACTCAATTTTTTTTTAGAACTAGACCGACAATTACCAAAAAGCAAAGCTGCGTGCACAAAATGGCGGCTACGATCACGTTAATACATCAGTGCAAATTCTAAGTGAACGGTGCATTTTTGGTGCTGCATTGTCTGCTAGTGCACAGTACAAATATGCCAATATGACCAATAGTTGTCTAAAGCAGAACGCTGTAAACCAATAGTGACGGCCACGTTTGTCAGCGTCAGCTACATGGACCTGCAAGCAACAGAAGAATAGGCCTTTAGAAAAGCGTCTCTCCGTAACCTAGCAACCGCTTCGTTGGTAGGGAGAAGTTCAAGGTTATTTGGAGCACAGCTGTGTGTTTGATGATGATCAACGCTTCAACACAGAAATGTTGACAACTAAATATTAATATACCACACGTACGTTTAACCACTGACACTTTTATTTTATTCATTACGATAAAATCAAAACACAACATCGCAATGCATGTGTTTACTATTACACAATATCATGTTCTTTTCAAGTAGATATTACGTATCCATATTATTTGACGATAATTAAGCAAACTTCCTGTCTAGAGAATGTTTAAGAATTTTTGATTATGAACTCCAATTGTTGTAAAGTCGGCATATATCATAATTATGTCGGAAGATTTGGTCTAAAAGTGGCTTTAAGGGTCGTGCTAAAACAACACCAAATCACTCATAATTGTTGAGTTCATTTGCGAAATATTTCACAAGTCCTGGAATTTCATTGCTCAGCACTCAGATAATCCCGTCAAGAGCTTGCTTGAATGTCACAATGTCAAGAAGACTCTTCAAACCCAAATCATTTTTGAGCTCTGAGTAGAAGAAATTGGGAGCCTCGGTGGACACTATTTTTAGACCGAGTAACCGCTGTCCGTTGTAGCCGTCGAAATGGTTCTTGAGCCCGCCTAGTCCATGGTTGGCCAGCCAGGTGTTGACTTGGTCATTGGTCCAGGTAGATACCGTCTTGGCGTCCGTGTGTTCTTGGCTGCCGGAGATTTTGGTGTTAATATTCTGCCGCTGAACCGAAGTGCGTTTGAAAGTGGTTGCTTGACCTCCACTAGAGTCAAAATTATCTGCAGACAAAAAAGTGCAGTTTATGTTATGTAAAAGAAAATAAAACATTACAACTTAATCTATGTACCCAAAATTATCCCTAACCCCAAGCTTACTGGTGTATGTAAAATCGAATTGAAATTGGAAGATTGAGGACTGTTAGGCCTAAAAGTGACGACCTGGTATTGACAACATTTGATTTACAGAGTGCAACTTATAGGATTATAATGGACTTTTTGAAACAAATAACTTACTCTATTTGATACATAATTGATAACCGATAAACACCCGATTCTGTTAAAGAGTGAAAAGGGCGTGGGGCAAATTTGTGTATATTATGCCATTATGTGAGTTATTTTAGTTCGCATTTAATGTCTATTGAGATTTTTCGCAAGGAAACATCTTTGAGCGGCTGAGGATTTATGGAACAAGTTCTTGTATACCTTTCTTATCATCGGCAGTAGATTTTATGGTGGGTCTGAGTGTGCTACAACCTTCCTTAAGCATCCTGCCTCTTCCTCCAAGTTGTTGCTTCAACTTGGTGAAGTCCTCTCCCAAGGAATTCGCTCTACTCATATCTACATACAGCTTGGCACCAATCATGATGCCCAGCCAACCGTCTGGATCGTAGTCCTCCTGAAGACGTAGCGGGATGATAGGCTTCTGAAGCTTGTAGGTGTACTCAGCTTCTGTCATCAGCGAGAGACAAAATAAAAGGGAAATATAAAAATATTGAATATAAAACATACGTACTTTTGAACGTGGCTTTTAATTGGTTTGTACAGAAGGTGGACTTCACTTGAAATTCCTGGTAGTACACTGGCATACATTTTAATTTACAAAGTCCTCACCTGTTCGGCAACTGGCGCTCTGTTTGTATTTCTCTGTGAAGCATATGAGCACAACGGCAGATCTTTCTATGGCCGCTGCCATAGATTCGAGCGTAGAACCTTCTGCAATAAAGTAAAGTAAACCGTCGATGACATTACATTTGACTTCGTTAAGTGAAAATCAGGAACAGTGTGTTCAAAACTAGAGTTCAAATATCACATTGAACTTAAGGACTTACCCATGTTGTCCACGTCCATCCACACGCTGTATCCAGATTCCCTCAAGAGTTCTTTTATCTTCATCATTTGCATTTGGACTCCCCATTGGTAGCTGATCATCACGTGGGGTGTGTTGTCCAAATTGTTTCCATCAATAGACTGAACCTCCAACTCTCCGTCGTTTTTGCCTGTTGATGATGCTTGTGACTTAAAAAAAAAGACCAAAATCATTTGAAAAACAAATTATAGTGTAAGTTTTGCATGACTTATGAACAGTCAGCTGCGGCCGAATGATCGCATGAGACACCACTATCCGCCCCGAGCAGAAGCACTCCCTCATCGGTTGAAGAGCCGTGTTGGTCGGGAGTGTTTATTTTGTTGGTACTAAATCGACTGCAACGCTTGCATTTCATGGTCGTTCGTGAACCAGTGATGTGCAGTTCCTACCAAAGGAGTCTAGGTTGCTAGGAAAAATGAGCCCTCTCTTGGTCCAGCACAGAGCCCATAATAGACTCACGGCGACTGAACAAGCGACATTATTGTTTGATATGAAATCCCTCCCTCATTTATCAATTCAATTGATTACCTTCACAGCTCCACCGTCGGCTTTGTCCATATCGTCCCCATCAGCTTCATCTAGCATCCATAACACAGTCGAACAAGCTTTAAGAATTTTCCGGTCCGTCTCACTGCTTTGCAGTTCTTTCAAAACTATTTCAACGAGAATTAGAAACAAAAGTTTCCCACTTTTTAAATAATATCCCCTCACTGCCGGCATTGGAAGTTGGAGCGTCACCAAATGACGAATGGTCTCGTTGTTTCGCTGTATGAAGTTAAAAATTGGAGTGTTGAAGGTAAGTCGAAACTACGAGGCAAGATTCCCCTCTGGAGCAGAGAACCAAGAGTGAAAATGTTCTCATTGTCTAAAGCATTTATCCGCTGGCTTCTCTCAACATATCCTTCGGTATCCATTCAAAGGATGTCTCTGTAAAATTAATGTCACTCATGCAAACTGCACTACTCTCTAAAAGTAAGGGTGAAAACTCGCTCTCCCACAATGCTTTCAAGAGTAAAACCACTTTATTAAAAAAAAGAAAAACAATCCAAAGGTGGAGCAACTTTCAAAAGTGGCGCAACAGTCTTTTTCGAGTTGTCACTTATACGACCACTTGAAAGAGTGAAAATTGCACTCTTTTAGTGTGGTTGATGAGGTGAAGAGACTCACTCTCTTAAGAGTGAGTTCTTCATTCTTTTATTAATTCAGAGTAGTTTTCTTACCTTTCTCGATTTGAAGTTTTCGGCACAAGTGTTATTACAAACAGAAACAATCATTTTCAGCGTCGTGCTCGATTAGAAAAGGGTAGGATAAAACTCTTTGATTGAATTCCCCAAATCATACCCACCTGATATCAGTGTGCTGTTTGTCTTGAACTCTCTCTTGTTATCTTCATGAAATGCCAACTTCCACACGGCCTTAGCGGCGGCACGCTTCTCGGCTACGCTGTCCGTCGTCAACATGGTGATCAGCATTGGCATCACACCATTCTGTTGATTGTCATGGAAGGAATAGTTTAGATGTGAAACTTCAATCGAGTTTAAACCAATGATTGGATATAAGGCACGAGCCAAATTTTCTTTATTGAATAACGTCAAATCAAGGCCAGGCACGTTGTTTCTCAGGGAACCATTTTGTACGCAGAAATTCTGCAATTTGAAGATATTAGAAATGATCAATAATAATAATAAAGTTAGTTTCATGTTTCCTGATGGATGCCTTGCCCACTTCATGATTCCTATTAAGTTGTCTCAATCAAAGTGCACGTCTCTACTCCGTTTCTCACCTTGACAAGTTTTAACTTATTGGAGTCATTCACTGCCATGTTGCCAATCCCATCCACGACAACCTCGGCCGAGAAAGTGTAATGATCCGAGTAATGACCCGGTTGCTCCAAACATTTCCCCAGGACCTTTGCGATGAAAAAAAAAATACTCAGCGACATTTTTATTGAAACAATGCAAAGAAGGATAAAGGACATTCACATAGAGGAAGGACGCTCCTGTCGTCAATTGCCCATTAATTGAACTAAGAATTGAAACGTAATACAATGTATTTATGAAGTTTGACAAAGTGGAATCTTACCGTGTCAAAACATTTTCTATAATTGCAGTATTTCAGTCTTTGAAGAAAATGGCAAAGGGGGATAGTTATGAACAAGGTTATAAAAAGGAAAGCTCTGAGAGTAGCTTGTAGAAAAATGCACCTCACAAATCCAATAATAGTATGAAACTGTTGGAATACACAAGAGGCTAACCTTGAGCACGAATTTAATATTGTCATCTGTCGTGTTCAGAGCTCCGTTTTCATCTTCATTGATGAGATAGACGAGACAGAAGAGCGCCTTAGCTCGCATGATCATAAAACGGCAATGCAATAATGCTGAAAGAAGAAAAGCAGGAAGTAAATTCCACAAGTCAAAATGTACGTTTCAAATAACACCATATTTCGGTCCTGAATAGAGTAACAAATTGAAACGTCTAATATTTTTGTACCTTGAAGGTGTGGAACAATTTTGGCTTCTCGAAACACCGGTTTGCTGTTCATGTTCATCCTGATGATATTTGCCAAAATGTTGATCATCTTTTTCAGCGTCTCTCTAGGTGAATTCCATAAGGCTTTCTTGGTGCCACTTTTCAAACCGTCCTGGGTCATTAGCGGGTGATCAAACTCCTTCGCAATTAGAGGAACGATTCCGTGCTTAACGCTGCCCATTTCCAGGCACAAGTTCCAGCTGACGTGAGTAAAACTGATTGTTGCCTGTTTAAGGAGATTGAAGACTACGTACTCTCTGGCAAGATCAGGAGACAGGTAGATATCTTTGTCGTAGACCGTGTTCCAGATTTTAACGAACAGTGGCGGGTATTTCTTGTCCACTAGTTCACTGGCGAGCTCCGTATCGGTCAAATCACTCATTCTACAGACAGTCAGAAGGTCATCCAAGGATCTNATCTTCGATGTAAGATGTAACTGTCTGAAGTCTTTGTAGAGCTTCAAGAAATGCCGGGTACAACTCCTTCCGTTGTTTGGTCATCGCTTGTAGTCCCACCGGGTCGAAGGGACTGTGTCGGGCTGTTTGACCACCAGTAGCCGTCGCAACTTTAAGGAACTCAATGCACCGGCGGACGGTCGGAGTTTGGCCTTTCTCATGGTTTTCGAGTTCATGTTTTTGGAAAGTCTGAGTCGGTGAAGGAGTGAAGGCTACAGTTTCTCGTTTGGTACTGCTGGGACTGCAGCCCATCTTTGTAGCTGATGAGAACAGACGAAGTAAAAAAAAATGGTTGATACATTCAAAACGCCAGTATATCTAGGGATTTTATGACATGCATGCTCGTATGTCGAAAACGTTCTACATTTGAGACAGCTAAGATAATTATGACAAAAAATAGAAAATAAACATATCTGTGGCCAACTGCAGCTACAGAACCTTGACAATGAAGGATTGGTGTAAGAGGAATGTAATTTGGTCTCGTAGTACAATGACACTTCCTTTATTCAGACTAATGAAGATTGTAGCACAGAGCAAGGAACGATTGGAGATACTAGCTGTCTAGGACTTTGAACGCATTAAAGTCTTTATAAAGACAGGAGATTATTATGACGGAAGGTTTAAGTCGGAAGTCGGAAGGTTTTGTACGCTGGGGGTGTTGCCTAACAAAGATGATCGATTTAAGACTTGGAAACTTGGAGGAATGATGCATGAAAGAAAAGGAGGGACCTTACGCCATGGATGTGGGCAACAATATGATGGTCAATCTGGAAGGGAACTGTGGCCAAAGCACAGTCAGGGTCCTTGCAGGGGGGAGATTTATAGCCTAAGGGAACATGTGGTCTGGAGAGGGAGAGAATTACTATGGGAACAGCCACCCAGGTCTGGCAGAAAGGTATGCAGAATTCAGGGATCGAGAGATAAGGACCAGGGATGGTCAAGAAAAGTTGGGTAACTAGGTCTAGACTCGACTAGGTCTCTACATGGAGGAATAATGTGTTTTATTCCCCCATGGTCTCAACAGTGGAATAAAATATAAGCATAGATGAATTTCTTGAAATAAAAGGAAAACATGTACATGTATACTTAATACATGTAATCAAAATTAATGGTTAAACTTAAATCAAAACACAACGTCCGCTACAAATTGAATCAACTTCAATAATTAACTCTTCGAAGTAACCAGGAGAACCAGTAAATTCCTCAAAGACTGGTGATTTCACTTTTCAGGAAAAACATGAAGGCACTCCTTTTTGTGTCCGTCACAACCTTCACCAGCCTGTACATCGATCCCTCTCCAAAAAAAAGAAGTAAAAAAAAAGAAACTACAACACGCTATTGTAAGCTGAAACCAACCTACCCCATACAGAACTCACTCCTGTTGCTAAATGTCCAATCGGGGTATATTTTCAACAAACAGTTATCCTGAACGAGGATTGTTCATCAGAACTCAAACTGTTTAGAACACGACCGACAATTACCAACAAGCAAAACTGCGTGCACAAAATGGCGGCTACAATCACGTTAATACATCTATACTCATTCCAAGTGAAACGTGTTACGCATATTTGGCGCTGTATTGACCACTAGTTCACAGTACAAATAGGCCAATATGACCAATAGTTGTCTAAAGCAGAACACGGTGCACGGCAACGGCCACGTTTGTCAGCGTTGCTACACGGGCCTACAGGCAACCGATGAATAGGCCTTTAGAGAAGCGCCTCTCCGTAACCTAGCAACCGCTTCGTTGTTAGGGGGAGTTCAAGGTTATTTGGAGCACAGATGTGTGTTTGATGATGATCAACGCTTCAACACAGAAATGTTGACAACTAAACATTAATATACCACACGTACGTTTAACCACTGACACTTTTATTTTATTCATTACGATAAAATCAAAACACAACATCGCAATGCATGTGTTTACTATTACACAATATCATGTTCTTTTCAAGCAGATGTTACGTATTATTTAACGATAATTAAGCAAACTTCCTGTCTAGAGAATGTTTAAGAATGTTTGATTATAAACTCCTATTGTTGTAAAGTCGGCATATATCATAATTATGTCTGAAGATTTGTTCCGAAAGTGGCTTTCAAGGTCGTGCATAAACAACACCATATCACTCATAATTGTTGAGCTCATTTGCGAAATATTTCACAAGTCCTGGAATTTCATTGCTCAGCACTCAGATAATCCCATCAAGAGCTTGCTTGAATGTCACAATCTCAAGAAGACTCTTCAAACCCAAATCATTTTTGAGCTCTGAGTAGAAGAAATTGGGAGCCTCGGTGGACACTATTTTTAGACCGAGTAACCGCTGTCCGTTGTAGCCGTCGAAACGGTTCTTGAGCCCGCCTAGTCCATGGTTGGCCAGCCAGGTGTTGACTTGGTCATTGGTCCAGGTAGATACCGTCTTGGCGTCCGTGTGTTCTTGGCTGCCGGAGATTTTGGTGTTAATATTCTGCCACTGAACCGAAGTGCGTCTGAAAGTGGTTGCTTGACCTCCACTAGAGTCAAAATTATCTGCAGCCAAAAAAGTGCAGTTTTTGTTATGTAAAAGAAAATAAAAACATTACAACTTAATTCNGTCTTCGATGTAAGATGTAGCCGTCTGAAGTCTTTGTAGAGCTTCAATAAATTCTGGGTACAACTCCTTCCGTTGTTTGGTCATCGCTTGTAGTCCCACCGGGTCAAAGGGACTGCGTCGGGCTGTTTGACCACCAGTAGCCGTCGCAACTTTAAGGAACTCAATGCACCGGCGGACGGTCGGAGTTTGGCCTTTCTCATGGTTTTCGAGTTCATGTTTTTGGAAAGTCTGAGTCGGTGAAGGAGTGAAGGCTACAGTTTCTCGTTTGGTACTGCTGGGACTGCAGCCCATCTTTGTAGCTGATGAGAACAGACGAAGTAAAAAAATGGTTGATACATTCAAAACGCCAGTATTTCTAGGGATTTTATGACATGCTCTTATCTTTCTACATTTAAAACAGCAAACATAATGACAAAAGAATACAAAATAAACATTTCCTTGAATCAACTTCAATAATGAAGAAAGATCCAGGTAAAATTCAATTTGACGGAAATATAAACTTTCATTTGAATATTAAAATAAAACAGATTTTTGAGAGTTTACGGACTACGGCCTACCTCTAATACGTGTGGACGAATAGTACCTGAATGTAGATATCAGTATCTTTTGGGGGTCAAGAACACCGCTTCTCCGCAGAATTAATTCACTGGTAAACGGTTATCATCCCTAACTCTTTGGGGCAACTAGGAGAATTAGTGAATTCCTGAAAGAATCATGATTTCACCTTTCGGGAAAAACATGGCTGTCCACGCAGCGGCGTTTGTGATAAGTACATGTATAGTTACATGGATCAATATACATGTATTATCCGATGTAAGATTCTTACGTAACGCTCACTGGTTGTTCCTTGCGTATGATCTCTTATCACTGGCTGGTCGCGCAAGTACCAGCGACACTACACTGCGCATTGAACTGTCCCATTCACGACGGCAAACTGGTCAAGCGTTGCCGTAACTTGACAACGGGATTATTACGGTGGCCGCTGATTCTGACCATACCGTTATATTGTATAGAGCTCTCAATTTGTCTTCCCTAAACTTTTAAAATTACATTTGCTAAATTCGGGCGGGTTAATATATAGACGGTTAAAAAAATTTCAAAGTTCACTGAAACGGCAAATTATTTCCAATGATGAAGGAAAGCAGAAAATTGCTTTCACTAAACTTCCACTAGACTTTATTTACATCGAACACCTCCATTTTCAAACAGGAAAAACAAGTCTACAAACTATTCTTAGGAACCAAAATGAAAAGAGGAATGACTGAAACACTACCATCCAGAGAAGGCAACAGTGTTTTATCTGAAGTTGCTGCATTCATCCGAGTACCACATAGATATTTCAGTTATCACTCAAAGGTGGATGATTTAGCTTTAGTTGATATATGTATTTTTGTCCAATTTAAAAGTGATAAGCAACTTTAATCTGACTGGTGATTTTTGGAAGATTGTGTCTAATGGTGATGGTAAATACAAAGTTTGCTTGGAATAAAACCCCAGAGAGACAGTAAAAAATATCAACTTCAAACACGATAGCTATCATGACACACGTTTAACAGTGATCTGGTGAGGTTATGACTAACACACCTTCCCTTCTGTAAGTATTGTTAACAAATGGCATGATACCAATTTTTACGCCAGTAAAACAATAACATCGGTTTCAGTCATAGACGAGTTGAGGGAAACCGGCTCCCCTTCCTGTAGTTTTAGTGACATGAATTTTGTATTCTCATGATAAAATTCTCTGTTTTGTTCTGGCTGTGTCCTTCGGCAAGTCATTCCCTGGAGAGATATGACTTTAAGGAATGGTAAGGGTCTTCATGAAGACACTATTTGCCATTTGAAGAACTGTCATCCAATTCACCAGGCTGTTACACAGCTCACTCCAACCAACTCCAAACCTGATGCATCGATGCCACAGAGACCAAACCAAAAACTAAATGCCAACTTGCAAGCTGCCATTCTTCCTAGGAATGCTTGTCTTCTTGTCAAGTTTACTTGAACATCTGTTGGTCCATTGATTGTAGCTGCCGTAATGCGGCCTTTCCATATCCACCTCGATCACTGTCAAAATCTGTTCGATACTCATCCCTTACCTACCAAAATAAAAGTAACAAATGAAAAAAAAGACATAATAGTAAAAATTAAATATAAGAATTTTAAGTTTATGGTTGCATTTTTAATAAAGGACTCTTGACTGAAAAAAATGAAGTGAACACCAAACAGCCATTTACCAAAGAATCTTAGGAGAGAAGAGAGTTCTTGGATGTGGTCAGAAACTACACATGGGTTCATACTCAGGAAAAACCTTGTGATCAGAAGAGATTGACCAAGCTAATCCCAGAAGGCCAGGAGGCCTAGTAAGGGGAATGACTGACCTGTCCTCCAGTCTTTCCTCGTCCATACTGCCTCCCCTCAATGAATCCTGCATCCCAATCTGTTCGGATGATACGGTCATCTAGACGGGTTCCACTGATAAACCTCAACGCATTGGAAGCATCTTCTCTTGCATAATATCTGAAATGCAATCTTGTCAAGGATCTTCAATCCCATTCAATTCAGAGGCTAAAAGGAGAACATCTTGTATGGTAGCAACTTGGAGGACATTGGCCTATTTGTCCAAATTGGTCAGTGAGTGCAAATGGGCTATTAACCAACATCAAAACCAGAGGTGCAAAATCGTATTATTTTCTGGATGAGGGATTAGTGCAATTTTATGCTTTCTAAATATGTGATGACTTCTTGCAGGGTCTTGCATCACAGATCTGAATAGAAAGAATGTGGACTGGATTGAGAAGTGAAGGCCCATGTGAAATGACCATCTTAGTCAAACGAAGTAAGCTAAACGGGCAATACCTCAACTTTTTTTTGAGAAGGAGATGAAAGTACATGTAGCTGTCTCTTAACACAAAGAAAACGGAAAAAACAGCCTTTGTTAAAAAATGCTTAAATTCTTTTAACCACTCGTCATCACAGTCCCTTTCAAGCATTTACAACAACAAAAGGAATCCATCTTGTTTATTTGTTTTCCTGCTGAAGGATACTCCACAAAGCAAAAGCCACAAGGCGTCTTTTTAACCTTGTCTAGACCCATGATGATTCGTTTGAGGTCACCACATTTTGAGAAGAGCTCATAGATTTGCTCCTCTGTTGTGTAGAAGGATAAGTTGCCAACGTACAGTGTACTGCTCTTTTTCAGGAGTTTCTCCTGCTGGGTGAGTGTGCCCTGCAAAAGCATTAAGGATCAAGAAATGCTCAAACAAAATCAGTTTTAATGTGGTTCAGGAAAATGACCTTCATCAAAAAATTTTGAGGCATGCATTAACGTTTGAAAATGCACACATATTCCTTCCAAAAATGTTCAAAACAGTTTGATTTTCCCTTTTTTTAACCAAATTACTACTTCCAATAAATAAATAAAGGTCATAAATGGTAACATATATATTTCCAAAACAAGTGCCTTAAACTGTAACCCACTTGAAATCTGACTGAGCCCCCCCTACATGTCATAATGTCAGCACTATGTGTACATAGCAGTCTGAATGTCACATGAATGTATGCAAGGTCACGGGCAACTAAGGAATAATTCAGGGAAAAAAGAAAGCAGTTGTTGAAACAGCTAAACTGCAATAAAACTACAAAACAATGCAAAGATGTGAATATGGGTGCATGATCTCGTAAACCGTTCTCATGGTTTGGATGATATCACCGAGTCTTGGTTCTTCTCTCTGATTGGTCAGTTGGTGGCTCTTCCATCCATGCATTTCATACTCGGGACCAAAAGGAGAGAAAATGTGGTATATGGGGAAAATCGGAATTATGGACTCAACTCTAAACGTTTACATCAAAAATGTCTGAAATTTCATTGTTTCTCTCCCATACATTACCGAAGAGGTTTCAGTTAGGCCTATTTTTATCATGCTGCAGCAAAAACTGAGGAAAACATGCTAATCCCTGTAGTCCGGAATGACTGAACGGAGGGTTGCCCCTTTGCCTAGACGTACATGTAGACATGAGTGCAATACTGTATACATGTACATGTAAATGGAATAACCTCAGACGACAAGCCATAAACATGGTGGACCGACCTGCTAAATGAGCATGTGCAGACTGCAAATATTACAGTCATGACTGTCAGTACATGTATCATGGTTAGGGACACAAATAAATGAGTGAGGACGCTGTTTATTTGGGAACTTATTTTCTTAAATAATACATAAGAAATTGTGATTAAAATTCGTCTTTTTTGCACACTGTAGCTCCTCTATTTAATTTCCAATTTTGAAATTTTTGAAATTTGAAGTGAAGCCAGCATTTAGTTCATTGAAATAAGGCACAAGAGAGAACAAAGATTTTGCAAAAACATGAATTTGGGGGTTTCCAGTTAAAATCCACACCCATTTTGGCGAACAAAATAATCAATAGTAATGTGTACAAAAAACATCTCAAAACATCCCTGCTTCAAACTGATATTTCTTTGCTTTGCAGAGTCCGATGGAATTCAAACTTACGCCTATATGAAAATATTTCTAATGAAATCCTCTTAAAGGTAACTTCAAAAATAAAATAGACAAAACTGAAAGCATTTTTCACCTCCCTCCACCATCCATGTTCAGTGATGTCCATGGCACCATGGAGGAAGGCACGCATGTAGGCTATCAGCAGGTCATGAGCCACTGATTTGAGTCCAACTACGATAAAAAACGATGTCAATTTACAGACTGTAATGATCCTTATGTTTTAGCTTCCCCAAAAACCTGGAAATACGTCACAAACTTAACTTCTTACCCTGAAATGCTGATCTCTGTACGAGCCAAGTTCTTGTGCGCGATCCACTCTCTTGACTGTCGCCATGTTGTGTGCTTTGTGTGCGTGCGTACACCAAAAGCACTCAACAGACTGTGGACAAGTCTAGTATCGTTTTGAACCCAAGTACTCAGCCTCGTGTCCATTTTTATGTGTTTATATTAAAGTTCAATGCTTAGTGGTGTAAAATGATTGCGTGTGAGGTTAACATAGATGTAAAAATGGCGTACTGCTTCCCACCACGAGGTTTCGTTTCCCCCGTAAACAATCAACAATTCCCACCTCATTTCGACATACCACCTTTCCCAACACCCAGGCAATCGTTTCAAGGGTCTCCTAGGCCACCACGGGACTTCACAGCGGGGCCTGACAGGCCTCCATTTGCCGCAGGAGCACTGCAGTTTAGACCACGACCCGCTGGACGATTTTCCCATGCGATCGCACCGGCCTACTATTGTGACAGACCGGGCGAACGCGGTGTGTGGGCCGGAGGAGTACGCGCCGGTACGCCTGGGGTGATACGGGGGCCTTTTCCCGTCCAGACGCCCACTGTGCCTGCTAGACCCGACCAGGAGCTCAGCTGGTTTCACCATCCAGCCAACAAGAGCAATGATATCACAGAATGTGAGAGTTGGCCGGGATTCCAAGGGAAAAAAGTAATTCATTTTTCATGTCTTTGATTTTTGGTCTATGCTTATGTATTTGACATCCTTTAAGTATAGTGGTAGCAGTTGCAAATTATATTGATTGGAATAATTATTTTTGATGATATATAGTTTGTATGTATATTTTGTAGTGTTCTTATTATTTTTGGCCTGTGGTAAGTGTAATAAAATGACAATAAGACCATGTTCAGTATTGATTGTGACATTTTTATTTTGGAAATTAAATAAGAGGGAAAGCAGTGTACATGATGGACATGGCAGGAGATCAACTACCTTCAGACTTTGCTATGAACTGTGACAATCATAATTAAACATTATAAAAAGTATTCTTGTCTTCTTTGGTAGGACTCACACCAAGTTCCATTTGGTGGACTGCACAAAAACAACCAGAGAAATGGATCCCAGAACTTTACGAAGGGCAAGTTATCAACCTGGAAAAGCCAAAAACAGAACAAACCTTTCAAAAAGAAGAGACGAAGGAAGCCATCTTCCACAGAAAAGCAGGTTTGTGAAATAACAGTGAGCTGGCTAGTAACCTCCCCTCCCATTTGTTCATACCCAAACACAGATGAGCGTTGCGTTGGATATAAAATGGAAGTTGAAGTGTTTCTCACTTTTCATTTGAATTTCTCCAATTGCAGTCACATGCCCTCCTATAGACTTGATCTTAAGACCTTCAGACATAACACGTCACCCACCGGAAATCACTTAGAATTATGGTTTTGATAAATCCCATTTTGGCAGGTGTCTACTCAGCTGGAGTTCTACTGTGATGTGTGTGACAGGGGTTTCAAGTCAAAAGCATTGATTGATGAACACTTTGCAGAACATGTCAAGGTAACATGTTCAAATCATATCAGCCAGCCACGGCTGTCTTGTTGGAGCTGAGCTCACAGATTCCATTGCAGTTGTAACAATTTGGGTGAAGCCTGTTTACATTAACAGTCTAGTAAAAGAATTGATTTCGTGTGGTTACATCTTCAGTTGAACACTGATAATGAGACCAATGTTAATGCAGCATCCTGTTTATAACAAGATCCACTCTCAGTTCCCACATTTTTGTAGTCTTGTTTCCGTTATGATTCAAGGTCTCTGTTATAACAACTTAAACATGGTATTGTTAAGTCCCAGTGACCTTGTAATAAAAGTGTTTGACTGTAGCTGCAAGAACATACTTAGAGCCCCTAATTTTGTTAAGAACAGAAACCAAAAAAAATAGGAAAAGGTAATCATGGTTGGATTCCACCCTGTTAGTCTGCTCTCCTTTGTAGTGCAAGCATGAGGGCTGTAAGTTTGAGGCTCACTTCAAGGTTGTTAAGCTTCACAGCAAGTTACAGCATGGACCTGGAAGTAAGAGAGTTGCCTGGCTAGATACACCTGCTGAGGTATCAAAGTGGCGAGCAGAGAGAAAGCGGTAAACACAAAGTCAATTGTTAGTTACGGAGGTTTGCAGTAGCACCATGCAAGGATGTCTCGTTTATGAGAGATATCCTTGCATGGTGCTACTGCAGATTTCTAGACCTAACTTGCTACCGTCACCATGAAAATCTTCAAAGTTCAAAGTCAATTTGTCCGACCAAAATGTTCAACTAGAAGAACAGAACTCTGGAAAATTAAACACATGGCAAATTATGAAAGAGTAAGAACCTTCGTGTGAACCTTCGTGTCATCTTTTCAACAGTCTAAAAATAATCAGAGGCTGTGATTAACCTTGGGACACTGATAACCAGTCTATTTCTAACTCGTCAAGTTCTGTTGGATTCCTCCTAATCAATTCCAGTTGTGATTTTATAGCAAGAATTACCTCTCACAAAGTGATTTTTTTGCAAAAGCTCCATACCCCACTTTTATGAGTAGTAGGCATGCCCCCCCTACTTTTGGCTGGTCCTATAATGGGGCGGGGCTTAATGGCTGATGCCCGATGGTCTTAGTCTCCAACTGGCCCCCTCACCACTTTGAAATTATTCCACTACTGTTTTTAAGAGATCACTCCTTCATTGTCATATCAGAGGGAGAATTTACAATCACCAATGCCAGTTGACATTTTGGAATTTATTGAATTACAGAAACTACCCATCTCTAAGCAATATTGCCAAGAAAGCTGAAACCTTGAGAAACAACAAAGAGAAGGGTGTTGTCCTTGAGAATAAATACTTTGGGTAAGTCAAGATACAAATAACCTGTTGAATTTGTTTGGTCGAAATAGTTTTTCATATATTCCCTTAATCATCAATCGGATTTTATTCTTGTTTTTAGCAAAATGCGACAGCCAAAGCGCGGATGGCAGAAACGGAGAGAAGTTGCAGGGGATAACGCGATTGATGCAAAGAAATCAAGGATGGATGATGCAAAGAGCAGCCAAGATACCAGTGCAGGAAGCAAGATGTCGGACAAAGGTTTCTATTCCTGGCTAAACCATTTCAAATTAAAGATTGTTAGTTAAATGCATGAGTTAAGGCAGTTTTACAAATATGATCAATAAGGTGATGTCATGATTTAAACACATAATCACCTGATTATAGGTTGATAGTTTTAACCATTTACCCATCAAGTGTTTCCGAGCCAGTTGCTTTATACATTCAGGAGGATTTTGAAGCATTATAAGGGGATAAGTGGATAAGATATCAAGATGCCCTGAGCACCGCTATGAGGGTAATTTGGCCATTTTTCAGATTTGAAAGCTGAAATCTCCACATGCTGTGATGTAACTTATGATTACGGTGAAGTGACCTCAGCTGGTCATCTTGGGTCTCTCTCTGCTCTGGCTGCTTATGATGGACCCAGTGATGAAGAGGAAGGAGAAATAAGGGAAGGTGGGTCAAACTTGGGATTGGATTTGTTTCTAATGCAAGGAAGAAACGTACATGTATGTGTCCTGACTCCGTGTGCCACTCATTGTTTTGATGAACTGCAGTCTTTTGAGCCGTTAGAATTGTGGCCAAGTATGTTGGATGATCCAGCTCTATGTGGAGTTTTTGGGTGGTATTAAACCAATCTTGAAATTTCTGGAAGTCATTACATATTTAAAAAAATTCAACTTTGGGCAGTACTTGTGGAAAGTTTAACAAATTGTAACCAGTTCTTGTTTAACGTTTAACTTGTTGTTTAACGTTGCCCACAAGACAAACATCCAGCATTTTATGGTTTCAAGGACTGGAGCACCTTACTCCATTTCAGCCGTGTTTTTGTAGCTCAAACCAAAATTGAAACAACTATCTGAAATGGGCTCATTTCTTGTCTAATTTCTTGTTAAAGATGCCCCCAAGCATGAAGAGATGACACCCCCTCAGAAGCCATCTACAAGTACCAGGAGGAATAGCAGAGGGTGGAAACCAAGTTGGAAAGGCACCCGAGGAAAAAAGACAACTAGAGGTACAAAAGCTGGCCAAAAAGTCAAGGAGAGATTGGAGAAACAACGCCAAGAAAGATTAAAGAGAAGACCCAACTTGTTGGAAATGGTAAATTGATTTGCACTGCATACACAAAAGCTTGTAGAAATGGAGACATTTTGAAATTGTTTAATACAGCTTGTACTCTGTCCATGAGGAGTACCAAGATGCTTATCTAGAGGCTAAAACTGGTTTAGAATACATTTTGCAGAATACAATGTGAAAGGGACAAATTGGAAATACATGTACATTATGAAAACTGAAGTTGAAGTTTTAGCATTGACTTCAGGATAATCCCTCAATGTCTGATTCCACTCAAATTGAAATAGACATAAACATAACAGAGTTTTAATAAAGTAACAATTTATATTTAAGCTACAATTTCCATTTCCATTTTGCAGCTTTTGGCACCAGAGATTAGACGAGAGCGTAACATCATTCTGCAGTGCGTTCGGTATGTCGTCCAAAACAATTTCTTTGACAGGAATCAAACAGAAGAGACAAACCTTGTAACAAAGCAGGTGTCCGAGAATGGACTGCATCAGTTGGAAGATTCTGTCAGAGAAGAATTTCAGGTTAACGTGAGAGAGACAAATGGAGATGTTTCTTTCCCTAAGGAAGATGTGTGTGAGAGAGGATCAAACGGGCAGACAGCTGAAACTGGTACAACCTACCAAGTACATGATCAGGATGATTCCATGCACTCAGAGATAGCGGGAAAACATCTTAATGGGGCCAAGGAAACAGATGTTGAGAGTCCTAGAGATACAGAGGAGCAAGTAGCCTCTCAAGAAAAGGGAGACGGTGAGTTGAATGTCAAGACAGAAGCAGGAGGAACTCAAGATCGTGGTTCGTTGAGTGGTAAAGGTGGTATCAAATCTGTCGCGGACTCTGCTGTTGCCAGCTCTGATGGGAAGGAAAGAACTGAAGGAATAAGAGACATCAGATGTTCTGCTCTGGATGGACCTGATATGGAAGGAGATGAAAGATTAGCTGTAAATGAAAGACAAAACCAAATCTTCCAAAATGGGGCAAGTTGTGATCTGGTTATATCAGAGTCCAATGCTGACACAAATACAAATGGAATTTAGAAGATGACAAATTCCAGTAAGCAAAGTAGCTTGGAACATCTTGTAACAGGCCACGAATAAGACTTATTTCAATCAAATGGTTGGAATAAGGAATTTCCAGTGAGTTTCAATCATTTGCCATGTATTGTGACGAGTATGAACAAATAAGTAACCTGTTTAAAGAAAAACTCAACAATCTTTGCATTAATAATGTGCCAAGAGGGAATGAGATGTGTTAATTGTAAGTGAACTAAGTCAAAATATCAACTCAAGACTGTAAAATAAAGCAGATATGTAACACCAGCTTCTCAGAAAATTGCGCGATTATCATGAACTTTTATTTGAAATGGCCATCAGGAATGCACACGACAATTTGGGTGTTTTCCAGTGTACAGTGCCGTTAATTCAGTACTTGATGTTTCCTAATTTAACTGTTCACACGTTTATTGCTTTAATCTGAGTAATTAATGCATTCTTCCCCACGTCTCAGACTGGACATAATTCACAGGGGGCAATGAATTAATAAGATTGCTACTCTGATTAAAAAATATTCTGACATTATTGATATTAATTTATTTTTGTCTATTTTATTTCTTATAATGAAACATCAATGTATTTGTAAACCAGTTTCAATTTTTTCTAAACCTGCACTCTCTGCTAAATACAGATGAGTAACAACAGAACGTGTTCACAAGTTGTTTTATTTCCTTGAACAGATGAGAACTTTGACAAATACAGAAACTTTCTTGGAACTTCCTCAGCCATTTCGTCATCCGTAATAACAGTTGATACCATCCCATTAAAATGGGCATTAAAGACATTGAAATCAAAATGAAACCACTGCCAATAATTCAGTGAAGGAAAGTAACAAGGGCATTTTTTGGAAATAGAGTTTGTATTCATATTAAAGGAGTTATCTCTAACATTTGACAGCATTTACTTTCTGGGGTTGGTAGTATGGTTGTCCAACTGTAAACAATAAATTGCTACCTTCTTAGCAAACTATTTTCATGGTGGAATTAAATGTGCAGGCAAGGGATTGCCTTTTCTTCAACTTCAAACAAGCAAGCTGGTAAATCTATGGTAAAAAAGTCTCCATCAGTAAAAAGAATGTTCTTGTTCAGAGCCTCAAACTAGCTCACTGTGCTGATGTGAGGAGGTATGGACATTTCTTGAAATTGGCAAGCAATGCACAAACCATCCACAACTGGTTAGCAGACACTGCTAAGTTCTTTGGAATAACCGATTGGAACACACGATAATCCTTGACATAGGCAAATGACTGCTCAATATGCCGTTGCAACTCCATCATATGCAAAGTCTGAAGACCTTTTGCACTACTCGACCAAAATGGTGGGACCACTATTGCCGACTTGTTCGCACAAGAGGCATCTTGGCTCTGGAAGCTTGCTGGTGCCATAATAGTGCTGGGGCCTGCTATCAAATTGAAGATTCTTGAGAATTTTGCAATCTTGATGTCCGATACACATCCATCGTACAAGTCGCTCACGAAGGTGACAGCTCCAAATGGACTGATACCAAGAAGGCCTTTGTAGGTGATGCTGACGTCCGTGTTCTCATGTCCATATATCTCTGCTATTGGCATTTGAACGGTAATCTCAGTACAGCTAAGAATAACTCTGGTATTTGGAAATGTGTTCTTGAAGCATAGTGGCATCGTCTTATCCACAGAGTTCTGACTGGGCCAAATTTGGAACTTCCGCAGGGAGACAAATAGATAGTTGATCCAAGTCAATAGAATTTGGGTGACTGATTTGACCGGCATATTAAATCGAATAGCCAGATCTTGTTCACAGAAACCTTGCTTAACATAGCACATAAACAAAAAGAACTCATCAATAAGTGGCAATGTTGTGCTCTCAACTTTTTCTTCTAATCCCATAATTAGCCTGCAATATTTCTGTACATCCATCCATCGTAACGCATTACTTCTACCCTTTGGTTCTAGTGCTGTATACATGGCTTTGAGAGTAGCATAGTCGGCAAAACCTGTGTAGTACTCAATGCATTGAGAATCATTAGAAAATCTCTCGAGGAGGAACAGCGTGCTGGACAGCATTTTGCACTGAGCCTCCAGAGTAGTTATCTTTTCTTTGGCAATGCGTAGCTTGGTCACAGCATCTTGAGGGTCATCCTGAGTAGAGGATGCTGGTGAGTCACACCTTGAGTTCTGTGTCAACTTGTCCTCTGAATCATACTCGTCTGCTTCCTCATGCTTGCTCATGCTGGGATCAGGTTCGTCTTGTTGGGTTTCACTGACAGTAATACAACAAGAAACCGAGGTGTTGCATCATCTTTGTGTATTAACCATGGAGGGTGGGTCCTCCAACTTAACTTACACAAGTAAATGTTACAGAAAAGATACATTATTAGTTATCACACAAGCGCAAAGGGAACACAGAAATGTAGTGCATCTGTGTCCCATTTGGCCTGATGGTATATGGGACACCGACACACTACATTATTCTGTGCTCCATGAGCACGAACGTAATCATAAATTTATCTTCAAGCAAACTTGACCCGCAGTGAAAATGTTATAGGGCCCATAGGGGCCTCTGTGCACGAAGGCGCAACCTTTGAATTGAAAGTAAATTTTGCAGATGTGCATTTTGCTTTTGGGGGGCATGTGGCCAAGTGGTTAGGGTTTGTGGCTTCTAATCATAGGGTTGGAGGTTCGAATCCAGTTGCTGACAGTATGCTGTGGCCCTTGGCAAGCCACTTCACCCCTGCTTGCCTCTCTCCACCCAGGAGTATAAATGGGTACCAGCATTAGCTGGGGAAGCAACTTGCGATGGACTGGCATCCCATCCAGGGGGGAATAGAAATATTCTCAGTCATTTCATGCCAAGGAAGCCAGAGATAAACACCAGCCTGATGAGCCAAATTGGCTCGGACCAGACTTGCTTTGCATTTTGCTTTTAGCGTAAAAATTGCACATTGCGTAGAATTAGAACAACACATTACACAGGGACCATGTAACAGAACATTATATTTCACACTGTTTGTTGCCATGGTTCGACTAATCAGAATAAAGAATTTACATAGTTTGCTTGAAGATAAGTAGTTGTAGTAATACCACTGAGCTTACGTTTCAACAAGGACATGTTTAGTAGATGCCATCACTTACAATATGCTGGACGGCTGGAACTTTGATGGCAAGACTCTTGGCTTGATTTTTTTCATCCCGGTCTCTGTGATGACGAAGTCAGACTTCCTGAAATGTCTGGAGCAAATTCTTGTGTCCTTTGTCACCTGTGGTCA